GGGAGACACAGAGGCCAAAGTGAATCAGTGCCAGAGTCAGCTTTGAGGTTCCTAATATAACTGTCACACTGAGCCTACCCAGAATTCCACTACCTTTCCTGTGCAGTTGGGAGTTCTGTATTTTCTAAGTTTATTTCTGTCCCAGTTTGAGAAAAGTGAAAATCTTTACCTTGAGGACTGTTCAGTACCCTATACAAAATGGCATCTTTGGCAGTCAAATGAATAATCAATGAATGGACCCCCCAGGTCAGTCCCGAAGCTCCTAAGATGGGCACGTGGGAAGGTTGTGTTCTGTGTCATGGAGTGAGTTCTCCATACCTTTCATTCCAGTATTGTTTATTTTCTCTTTGGTTTAGGAATTTTGAAACTTAACCCGTCTATTCCCATGTTTACTCAGGATTAGCAGCAGAAATGGAGTGGAGCACAATAAAATGAACGCATTTTGTTACGGGCTGTCGTGAGCGTGGTGTCAAAGTAGCAGTTCGGAATTCAGTGGAGACTTTGGAAATCTTTTAATTTCTGTGTGTTCAGTGTAGGTAACGAATCAGGATAATCCACTTTCTTTCCTAGTCCCTCTGGTTCTCCCCTCCCCCCTCGCTAACCCTCTTCACTCACATGCGCGCGCGCGCGCGCACACACACACACACACACACACACACACACACACACACACACACACACACACACACACACACACACACACCCTCATTCACCCACAGACTGTCATTTAAGAGCTTGGATTACGAGTTTCGGTGATTACCTAGCTCACATCAAAAAGCTAACTGTTCTATCTCTGTTCGTGCTTGTGTTTTGCAAACAGAATTTATGCAAATGGAGTCTCTCTTTAGGTCGCGTGGCCTTCTCTGGAGACGAGCCCTGAGGGAAGCCCCAGCAGTTACAGCTCTCAGTTCATCATACGGTAGTAGTTTACTGGGTGTGAACCAAGAAGGGCAGTGCGTGTAGCAGACCTCCTATCATCAGCAGAACCATTAGGTTGAGAATAGAGTGTCCCAGTGGTTTAGGTATGGTGACACGAAAGAAATTGCAGATTAACTGAGACCATCGCTTGTGGGATTGCAGGGTGGAGAAAGAAAGGGAGAGTGAGCGGGCATAGTTTATTTATGGAATGTCGGGGGGCCATCGTGGCTCAGCGGGCCCTAGAAGCGGAGGACTTCCCTCAGCGCTTGTTTTCTCCCTCTGACCTTGGATGAACTAGCGAGCAGTATATTATGCCGGGTGATTGTGCTGGTTTGTCATGGTTAGCATTCTGGACTGTCACTGGAATGTAGGAAACGGATGAATTTGAATTGAACCATGAGGTGGTCTGCCGGCCCTCTCCTTGTCTCGAGGAAACCTGTCGCTGTTTGTCTGGGCCTGGCCTAATGAAAGCAGTGGAGGG